CAAACAATTCCAGTATATTACTGTTCATATCAGTACATTAAGGGATTGACCATGTAACTTCAAAGGGGGAGTTATGTTTTTTTCCTAAAAAAATATATTGATCCCCAATTTTTTGAGAAACAAATATATTGTGGTCAATCAGATGACAAAATAATGTTCTGATTCCTGATTTTCCGAATACCGTATATAATATTGCTAATTTCGAAAAAAAATATCTGGGTGATAGCGTTGAAAAACTAAATAATTTTCTTACTCAGAATAAAAACATACCCCCTTTTGAAGCTAAATGGTCGGCCCGTAAATGTATTTTTTTTTCAATATATGGACATGAATAGTATTCTGGACAATGCTGAAAGTAAAGAAATGCTGGTACCGACGTTTATATTTCAATAAAAAAGACAGGAAATATATATAAAAAAATCAAATCTAATGAAAAGATAGAATCCCTTTCAACTCACCAATGCACGATTGATCCTATGAATACAAAGTGTCCGTGTAATACATGTTCAAATAGGCAGCACATCTTGAAGAAAATCATTCAACTTATGTCACCAATTTTGGATGGTAAGCTGCGATTGGATCATATTGTGACACGTGTTTAATCCTGACCAACACCATTAGAGACATATATAAAAACCTAATCATGAATTTAAAAAAGAAAATCCCAAAATATATGCCTATATATATATATATATATATATATATCTAATAACAAGACAAAATTCATTTTGTCATAACATTTCATTCACTAATGAAATTCAAATAGGAAATTCATTCTTTTTATACATTTATATTGTTATTGAATTCATATATATTGAATTCATATATTTGGGAGCAAACGTACGATTTTAATTATGTTTTAAGGCGGAATGTTGGAATGGAATGACACATCCTGCATGTTTTCAACAAAAAAGGATCAAGCCTGTTTATTCAGTTTAAATTTACTTACCCCCCTTTTTCCGTTTTTCCCCAAATAAAAATCAAATGTTAGCTTGCTTACCTCTGAAATCTTTTTCATACATTACTTACTTGCGAAGTTGCATTTTTACAAGTCTCAAATGTGTACGACATTCATCTTTTACTTGACATGGTTCTTTTTTATGAAATTATTAGATTCTTGAATTCCTTGAGAAAAAACTATAGGCTGAGAGGAAGTGAAAAACTGTAACTTACATTAACTGGTATATGAACATTTAAGTTTCTAATCTGTTTAATTTTGATACCTCTTCTAAATGCAACATGTACTACATCTTTCTTGAAACGTCGTACAAGTCAGATACAAAACAAAGGTTACAAAAAACAGGCCGGAAACAAACTGCTGTATAGTTTTTCTGTACTCGCAGTCAGGTCAAGGTCCTCGGCTATCGCCTCGGACCTTCACCTGACTACTCGTGCAGAAAAACTATCCGGCAACAGTTGTTACCGGCCTGTTTCTTTGTTACCTTTGTATTGTATCTAATACGTATCAGACAAATTAACAAAAAAGCTAATCGCCAACCCAATCAAGGATGTCCACCTCGGCTTTAAATCACATGGTACAGTCGGTTCAAAAGTTACCTGTGTATATTTAGTTCTAACTTTTAATCTAAAAAAAAAAGAAATGCATGCGTATGCACAAGCCTTACATGTTTGCACATTTTATTTCTACAAATTACCAAACTATTTCAACTCTCTTCTCGGATGTACTTTTAAGGATAATGATAAAATGTAAAAAAGGGGGTTAAAATAGTCAGTTTTAAAAACCATTAAAAAGACAAACTATACAAGAATTGCATATAAGGTTTAGACATAGGCTTTCCATAAAGATTATATAAAATTAGATCATGATAACTTGTATGTATACCTATGGAAGATTTGCATGTACTTTCACGGCAATGGCTGCATGACTGCATTCTCTATAGACGACACGTTGATGATCATATCTTTTTTGGAAAATTGAAATTATCCCACACCAAATTTACTCTTTTTAAACACTTATTTCCTAAATGAATTCATATTATACACAGACCTTGCTGAGTGAACATGTTTAACTTGAGATAGAGATTCTGAATAAGCATTATTTTTAAAACATCTTCACAAAAAAAAAAGAATCACAGTATCACAGCTTCACGTGTTACGGTCTATATATAAATATATACTTACTTTGAGCTTCAAAAACATAATATCATTTATGAAAATGATCGATTGATAATTGCTTAACGTCCAGTGGCAAATATTACATGCATGTTCAGAATTTTTTTTATAAAAATAAAATGGGCGTTGATGGCAGATATTTCATTGTTTCCGTTAAATTAATTCTCAACTGTTATACACTATATGGGTAAACCTGTCTACTGTATGTTGGTCTTGTGATGTCTTCTGCATATTGGTTTCGAGGGGTTGCTGTCTTTTCACTTATACCCAATATATTCTTACAAATATACATTGAATTTCATACTTGTCGGGTTGTTAAAATAATTGAAGTCGTGGTAACGAGCAGTATTTTAGATTTTAAAGTATAATCGTGGAATAATCGTGGAATAAAAACTTTACATACTTGGAAATTGCGCGTTTTCTTGATCAATATAACTGATAAATAAAACCCTCAAAAATTCGATTCATTTTTACTGTTAATTTTCACTGAAAAGAAAAATTTAAACACAACACGTGAGAAAATAAACTGAAGCTTCAAACAAAAGTGTACATTATATAATAATAAAATATTTCAGACTGTCTGGGGGAAGAGTAAATGTTGATATTTTGTTTAACGTAAACAGAAACATTAGTTCATCAATATTATCATTTATTATACATTACCGCTGGCAGTGACATTTTTTTCAAAATATAAATAAGGAGATGTTGTATGATGCCAATAAGACAAATTTCAATCAGAGTTTCAATGACAAATATATCAGCAATTATATGCCTTCAACCAATACAGACATGTACAGACCGAATAATCTGTCTCTTGTGTGTTTATACTTGTCATTTCATATTTAATTTGTCAACCGACCAGAGGAGGGACGACATTCTGCATACGACACGCATATTGGACTTATATTATCGATCGGTCGCAGTCACCTGGACAATGGAAATTTGTTGGATGATATTATACACATAAGCAATAATATACAGTTGTGATGATTATATAATATACATACATGTATACATAATAATTGAATTTGGTATTTGTCATTATTTGCCGGGTATATACGAATACCTTTATCAAACTGCTATTTTCCGGGTGCTTTTTTGGTACGGCATGGACATTATAATTGAATACTCGTATATTAAAGTAATTTTAACAAATTTTGGGTTTTTATTTTGGTCAAAATTTTATTTAATACAAGATTTTAAATATTAGACTCGTTTTTTCATTTGTCATTAAAAAAAAAGAAACACCAGAAAACAAGTAAAATACGAAGCCAACCAATATCCAAATTAAACATGTAATTTAAAAAACAAAAAGCTATCTTACATGTTTTGTTTTGTTTTTTTTTGGGGGGGGGGGGGGGGGGGGGTGTGTGTGTGTGTGATCATTTTTATTTCAATTATCTTGAATATCTAAAATACACAATTCATGGTATTTGTTGCTAAGGTTTACGTATTTACGTATTTACTCACGGATTTGACAACTATTTTTTGACATTTTATTTGAAAATCGTCGTTTTTTAGCGACTCATTATGCAGCAACGAATGGAGACTTAAGGAGCCTTTTATGTTTTATGCTGTATAAACAATATTCTTTAACGGTCATAAATTTCGATTTTTTTTTACTCGCTAACTAACGAAGTATTAATAAAAGCTTGTGTCTAGTATTTTTACAGACCTCGAATAAAAATTCCTGTCATTAAGGAACATAATCTTTATAGATACAATTTACCAAAAAGAAGTAAAAAATACATTACATTTTTTATGTAAAAGTTATTTTCGATCATCAATATTTCTTTCCATTTGAAAACTTGCTATATTTTTATGATTGCAATAGAGTATATTTGATATTAAAACATGAACACATATACATTGCAAATTGAATGATATTCAATGAATTTTAATCTCATAAAACAACATGTCATAGTTACAGTTAAAATTGATTTTTACAATAACAAAGTCTTATTGTCAAGTCCGATATAATCAATTGACTATACATTTTTTAAAGGTTAAAAGTTGTAGAATTTTACCAAAAGCCGTTAAAGCTAGGTAAATTTGTACGCAATTCCGAAAAAATATATTTCATTTTAGTTGTAATTTATGCTCATTTAACCCTCACATATATTTTATTTTGGACAATTGAACAAAGCAAACAAATTTTCACGGAAGGACATGAATATAATTGAGAAATCAGGGTATTACAAACAAGCTCGAATAAAGGGAGACAAACCTTATTAATCTGCACAAACAATTTTATGTCAAAATTGATAGATTTACCTGGTACTGGATGCTACTGAAAACTCCCAATCAACTATTTTATCGATGAACTGACGTGTACTAAAATGTACTAAACAGTACTGGATTTAACGCTACGGGTTTTTTCTTAATTACCTAAACCAGTACTGACTGGTACTTAATCGATCGTGAAAGTTAGTGTACTGAACATGTACTGAACAACTGAAAAAGATCTTGACATTTTTCCTTGCGGTAAATTCAGGCATTTAAGATTTGTTTAGTTTAAAATGACCGTTTCAGTAGTAAAACCCGTTATTAGTGTCTTAAATGTTAACTATTGTCAACGCTGTTTTTCAGTGAAATTATAGTTATTTGTAAAGAAATATTTCAAATTTGAAACCAATTTAGGTTTTCAGTAACAGCGAATTTTTCGTGTATTTCAAAACTGTTTAACATTCCACTCTATTTACAAAAAGAACAAAAAAGTATTTGACTAATCGTAGTCATTCGGCTAGCGGTTTAACAATATTAAACAAAAGTTCAATAAGATTTTAAAGTATACTAGTAAATAATTTATCAGTAAAAGTCGCACCGTTAATTTTATCATCATTCATCAATATGATCAAGCACGTAAATCTTATTGAATAAAATGATTTTATTTTTCACCAGAAAGCTATTATAGATAGCCTTTTTAATCGCCTAATCAACAATGGAAACGAATTTAATAGATTCACAGTCTCAGTGAAAGCTTGTTTGGCTGATAATTTGTCTCCCATTAACTGTAAAGCAGTACCAAGACAGTAGTAAGATGTTGATCTAACAATTACATCCTCCCCAATGAAGTAGTCTTCGTCTATTGTCAATTGAAGATCTTGAAGGGAATTTCGTAATTCTGGCACGTTGTTTAGATGGTAATGACATAGGAAAGACAAAAAATGTGCATAAACTACAGGCGGAATTGCAAAGATAATTTTTTCGATTAGCAGTTCCATTGGAATAAATGTCGAAGTCTTAAAAATGACATAATCTACCAGTAACTTTTTTAACGAATGAACCACTCCTTGCTTTTGTACAGAGTACCATTTGACTATAAGACGTTGCATGACTGACAATTCTGCTCCACGGAATAGTTTTTCAGGTGTACACTTCGATAATGCATACGAGATAATTAAAAGAGATTTTGTATATTGGTTTTCCTTGTAGAAAAACGAAGCAAGGATCAACCACCCAGAGACAGTATCGTGGTTGATGTTCATTAGTAGATAACTTAGACAAGTTTTGTATTGTTTATATTGATTCTTATTATTGATTGTACTGCTCAAGTATACGGACTGGCAATGTTTGTTGCACATCACTGACATGAAATATGTATATAGGTATTTCAATTTCTTGGAGTTATAAGACATAACGTTATGAACAGCTCTACTAAAGTTATTGTATTTACCACTCACAGAACCAACACGAATGATTACGTTTGAGTTTAACAATTTGTTTATATCTTCATAATAAAAGATACTGTGATCATTTTGAATGTTGCAGGGTAAAAACGAAACATGTGATATTTGTTTAGAGAAAAACATGCATCGCCATCCATAGCTAAAGAGCACACGAAGTGTATCTATTAAATTAGTCCTATCCAGTCCTTCTATCTTATTCTCAAACAAATTATTTTCTGGGATGAAATAATGCGGACAAACTTGATACTGCACACAATAAATGAGCCGAAGGAAACATCTCATAAAACATGGTATCAAATTGTCAGGTGTCCATACAGAGGGTTGTAATTCTTCTGATATCCAGAAAATAATTGTCTTCAGGTAATAAGAACACAATAAATCTGTACATCTGCTATCAGTATTTATTACATCCTTTAGAAGAATTTTCATGAGCGCATAACAAAGTAACTGCGATTGACTAAACGTATAAATAAGAAGTTTTTCAGCAACTGAAAATGAAATTCGCCATTCAAATTCCTCGTGTGGTGACCCTTTAGCACCGATTGGGACAAACAGCACGCCGTGATCAATGATCATCTGCTTTGTGTTTTCATATGGCCATGCATTATTTGACCTCACAACCCATCCTGATGCGGGTTTAAACCAATATTTACTATGAAGGCTAGGAGCCATGTCATAACGACCATGAATATCGGATATGCAAGGTCCGTGTACAAAGGGACCTAATTCGTTTAAAAATGTTTGTTTGAATAAGACATTTGACAAATAATTGCCCATTCTGCATTTTTTACAAAAGAGGGGATGAGGACTACCTATAAGTTGCAACATTACAAAACCTGGTTTTGTACCTTCTGTCATCATTGTGAAATTCGTTTTTGAACGACTAAAAACAATAGGTGTTCTATTATCGTGGACCTCGATGTCCTTTAAGACAAACATAAGATCTAGATCACTACCTAGCATCTGCAGTCCTTCACCAAAACTTCCGCTGGTAATGATCACTTTTATGTCGTCACTGGAAAGATTATCACAAACTGTGTTTATCAATCTTATCGTTTTGACGTGATTTTCTGTTCCAACTACGTATTTGCACATGTGACGGTAAACGGATGATGACACATCTGAAACAATAAATTTTCAACAATAATTTATTTAATTATTAATAGCATATCAATGTAGTATATACCATGCTTTAGCGCAGCCGAAAACGTATGTCCTGTCTGCAAACGAATGGTGTTTATTGTTACGAAACGGGAGTCTTACGTACACAATTATAAGGTTTTTATCTTTGCTTTGGGTTTTGGAATTCAAAGATAGGATTAAAGATGGAGATATTAAAACTGTTACAGAATTATAAATTTCGGAATACTTCGTTGTCTTGTAATATTATTAAGGTTTATTGATTTTCACGTTTGTCTATGTTAGTGCATGTTTATACCTGCAATACATATCTTATCTAATACTTTAAATAAAATTAGATGAATATATATCAACGCTTGTCGAATTGATACATTGGTTGTTGTTAAACACACTTTCAGCTCTATTAGCTTTATCGTGGCTCTCAGGTTATAATTGACGATTGTTTTAGTTTATACCTATTTTGTTCATTGAACATATGCATACTTATTTGTTTTCATATAGGATTACTTTACAACGATTTAAACAAAAAGATTTAAAATAATAAACAATTGATGATAACTAAGATTTAAATGAACTTTCATATAGATATGCAAACAGGAAAAGTGAGTACAAAAATGGTTACCTGTATATAAAAACTGTGTCAGAAGATTATTTCTAGCACAGGTTCCCACAACAATATAATGTTATTTTTTTTCAAATTAGGATGATCATCAGCTTCTTCAAGTAGCTTACATGTACTTTATACCGATTCAAAAAATGTATGGTTTTTATGTATTTACCTATGAAAAAGAGATAACTTCCTGTCGTTTGATCGTATGCAAGGTCATTTGTCGTTCAAACTAATTCAAAAGACATCATCGCTTTGAATTGTACTAAATTGAATTACACGGATAGATTACAATTGAGAAAAATCAAATTGGTCCTTAACCTTGATCTCAATTTCAATGTCAAAGGTCGTAGACCTCAAATGCAAAGACCCCAGGACCATAAAGTCTATTGTTAAGAATTTATCCTACCACAAAGTGTATTTTGAATATTTACTGGGTGAAAACTTCTTATTCAGTTCACTTCGACCCAAATGTATTGAAAATTTAATCTTAGAATGTATGTAAACTGCAAAAAAAATCCATTTATCAGTAAAATATCAATATACACAATTGAATAAACACAAACAAATTCTGTCTTGTGATAGGACAAAAAAATCGTTTGTTGAAGTTGAAGTCACAGACTATTCATTTCTTAACTAATGTTGTATATATACAGATGTATTATAGTGTGTTTCCATAAACTATTAATAATGTCCGTATCACTTGATGATCAGTTTTATTTGGTTTCAGTACAAGAAATTGGACCTACATTAAGACCATATTTCATCAATTTATCATGTTTATTGAACATTCGTTCTATACTAGCCTTATGATTTACACATTTTTACAAAAAGCTAAAGCCGTTTTTGAGCAGAGGTTGTCTGTTATTCCACAGGTTGAGACGCAGAGAACTAACAATTAACTTGTTTTATTTAATTATACGTTAAAAAACTTTGTAATATTTGGATTCTCCCATGTTTATGTTTAATATTTCATGTATAAACTTATCTATATATTTACATTCATTAACATGATAAATGAACTTGTTTGTTCATGTATTAATGAATGATTATCCTGCTCTTTTCAAGTATACCATAGTTGGAATAATGCAATATGTTTGTATTTATGTATGAAGCGTATAGGCAACAACGTCTTTCTCACAATGATTTTCCATCATAACTTTATTCTCTAAAGTGGTAAGCTTCAAATATTTTCGAAGTCGAGATGAGTATATACCAAGATGTAGGAGGAAAAAGCCTCAAAGCAGAACTAATTAGGCTAAAATAATTTTACTATAAGTGTATACTGCAAGTAACGTATTATATATTTTAGGAGATGTGGCGTTAAGGTCCGGTAGACACCAACCATTGCAAACGTAGCAAACGACCAAAAATATCAAAAGGCCAGTATAAGAAATAGAATGCAACAGACGCGTTAAAAATATTATATGGTCAAAATAGGACTGTGTTTAAAGAAATGAACATATCTGAAAGAATATATCACAGATCCGTCATCAACAGCAAATTGAATAAATGATAAAAGAGACATTGATAAATAGTAAAACACATTCATTGAGCAAAGTCAATTACTAGACTAATCACGGGAACATATGAAGGAGTAAAACATAGTATTCATTTTTTAAATCTTGATCTCGATATTCGAAATACTAATACTGCGAACAGATCACTATAGAAACCTACTTAAGCTTGTACTATTGGTATGAGCATTTACTGAAACAAAAGTAAAAATATAAAAATAATTCATAATATCGTATGCGAAAACACTCTGAATGCGATTTTATAATCTACACTGTTGATATGCAACCAAGCCGTCCTGGGTAAAAATTTAAGCGTCTTAACTTCTGGATACATTTCATATTACCAGTAAAACAAAGTACAACATATATACAGTAGGGCACGAACTTAAGAACTTCCCTGAAATCAGCACCTATATATATATATAACTACAGAAAAAATATTCAGTCTTGCTCATGTTGCTTTACCTTATTCATTTAATAATTAATATGAAGACGATCGGAACAGGAATGTTTCCACAAACTTTATCGACCTATTAATTTCTGAGGATAAACATGAGTGTAAATGTTGAGGTTTGAAAAGCATAAACAACCTTCACGAATCAAATAATATGTAATGGAAAAATACATGTATTGTAAAATTGATGGGTAAAATACAGGACACATTCCCTATCATGGCCCAAAACCAGGCTTTTCAAATAACCAAAAAATTATGATGTTCCTTTATTGTAGGCACCCTCCCCTTTTCTATGAGTTTTACACTCAATTGACAGTCTTACAAGAAGAACCACTGTCACGCTAAATGAAAAGTCATGTAATTACTTCGTATGCATGTTATTCGAGTGTTCCATTAACGGGAATTAGCTTAGCTGATAAAAGATTGATATGCGAATTTTTATTGTTTTTCCGATAGCTATAATGTCGCCATATTCGCAATTATAGAAATATTAGAAACATTGCTGAATTTACAGTATTGAACTTTTAGTACATTAACATTTACAAATTAAATATCGAAATTATCAATATAAACTAGCTTTATCTTACCTTCCATGTTGTTTCACCACCGTTAATCTAGATCTTTCACAACGGATTTACATATTGTGCAGGATGTTACAGAATCACTTTGAAGCCAAAAGTTGAAATATGTGTAAGGTCTCGTAAAGTTCGAACAAAATATATGAAATTCACAATTACACCTGTCATTTACATTGCCTTTCTGACCGTTGATTTCTTATTTGACAACACATAAAATATACTATTCTTTTTATAGACTTTCTAATTTACAACAAGTGGTAAATACTTCCTTATGAAAATTAAATCAACGACGAGAAACATTATCTTTTTATTAACTTTAATGGATCAAATTTACCAGGACAATATTTTAACAAAACTGAATTCTATTTCCGGGAACGTTTTTGTCATAGAAGTTTTATTTTATTTACTTATTTAATATTGGATTGTTTTCAAATAGATTCCCTTACATTAAAATTATTATACACATATTATAAAAACACAACAAAACAAATGTCCTTCATTGTATGCACCACAAATGGGATCAGTTTAAATAAAAAACATACAATCTACAAAAAAGAAGCGCATAATTAATTTCATTTGTAGTTCTTTTTTTATGTTTGAATATTAAATATTTTCAGATACATTCCTAAACATTCAATTATTTATTGATAATCATACAGAATGTACGATGAAAATATTACAGCGTCGTCATTATCATTGCGCAAAAAAAAGGAATACGGATTATTGAGAAATGAAGTCAAGCTTTTCATTTTTGATCTGCCATGTAGGTTTTATTTCCTAATTTTTTTTAAAATTCTAATATTGGATTGATTTTAAATACATGAAGTTTCCATTATATTCAAATTTTTATGCACATATATTATAAAACACGACAAGACAATTTTCGCAATTGTTTGCACCACAAATGGCTTCAGTTTCAATAAAAAAAAAACATACAATCTACAAAAAAGAAGCCAAGATTTAAAGCACGACTTCATACTGCGATTAATTGTTAGGGGAAGTTTCATTTATCTGGATTGCACACTATAGAAGGAGTGCATCACCGGGCAGTCCAACCGTTAAGCCGCGCGCCAGATATAACCATAATATAAGCCGGTGTTGGACTTCTTCCAATCCTGCCAAAATGAATTGTTACTTAGAATAAAACATACCTAAATTTTATCTAGTATTAATATTTCTGTTTCTTTCAACAAAATACCTTTTGTAACTCAAGACGTTAATTAATGCGATAATACAAAATATGCAAAATTAAACCCTTACATGTATCAACAACTTTTTTTTTAAAGTTTGTCAGCTGCTGTTTTCTTTTAAACTTTAATTCAACCTTCAAACCGAATGTTTCACAAAATTGTCAACTGTAAGTATTATCTTGACTGATGTTTTCAAAAAAGGTAAATAGATAAATTACACAAAGAGACACTTTAACAAGATATGGATATACATTAATTTTTTCAAAGATACTGACATATTTTATAAGATATAAACGGGAAGCATTAAAACAACTAATGATACTACAAAACTGACATAAAAAGTCATGTCAATGACCTATTCTACTAATTACGCTCCTCGGCTCTTCGAAGATGTAACTATAGAAGAGGAGCGAAAGATACCAGAGGGACAGTCAAACTCATTTTTCGAAAATAAACTGACAACGCCATGGCTAAAAAATAAAAAGACAAACAAACAAATAATAGTACACAAGACACAACATAGAAAACTAAAGACTAAGCAATACGAACCCCACCAAAACTGGGGGTGATCTCAGGTGCTTTGGAAGGGTAAGCAGATCCTGCTTACATGTGGCACCCGTCGTGTTGCTCATGTTATTACAAATCCGGTTAATAGTCTAATCCGGTAGGTCACATTCGTGGTGAAAAAGGAAGTGGATTGTAATTACGACATAAGAAACATATCCGATATCATTTGTGAAACGGTTATTCCATAACGGTCAACCAACTCGTCCGTAAAATTTACGAAGGGATGATTTCAACTTCACCATTTTGAACTCTTGGTTTAATAGCTTCCTTGTGAGCAGCAACCCTCTATCAAGGACATCATGATAGGAAATACAAACCCGGGAATATCGTATCAATTGGGAGGTATATACTCCGTATGCAGGTGCTGCTGGAATGTTGCTACATAGAAATGGAAAGTTAACAATTGGGAAGCTGAAATCATCCCTTTTGTCGGAAAGTTTTGTTTTCAACCGACCCTCCTTGTCAATTTCTAGATATAAGTCAACATATGAGGCAGACTTAACTGTATCTGTAGTGTCTTTATCGTAAGTTCGATGGGATAGATGCGTTCAACATAGTCACCAAATTTTGAATTATTTAGTGAGAGAACATCATCTTTATAGCGGAAAGTAAAGTTAAAGGATATTGCTAACTTCTTATTTTTCTTCCTAAGAAGTTCCTGTATGAAGTCAGCCTCATAATAATAAAGAAACAGTTATAGCATTCATTTTCCGATGTACAACGAGATATCTCATTTAAAAGAGGTCTAAAGCCTTGACCTATGGGTATGACGTAGCTATACCTAGCTATAAAAACTGCGGCTATTACCTGTGCCAATCATAATATTTTTCGAGCCGCGAGGTGTCTAACTCGTTATAATCCGTGACGACGTCCAGAATTTTAAGATTTTGCAAAACTGAAAACGTTGTTCCAGTAAAAAATGTTTTATAAACATTAATTATCCTGAGAACTTAATACCCAAGTTCGTTAAATACAACGTACAAGGAGCCTGTAGTTTATTGCTTGTCTTTGATATTTGTTTTTCGTAAATTGTTATGTTATAAATTCAGCTGTTAGTTTTCTCAATTGAATTGTTTCATATTTTTCATGTTGTTGGCTTTTTTTTTCATTGTTGAAAGCCCTACGGGTGCCTAGAATTACTTACATCTACTTCATTTGAACTGTGGTGGATATTTGTCTTATTGGAAATCATTCCTTATTTTCATATTGGTGCAGACATATCATTTACTAAAAATATAATTGTGCCGCTTTGTATTTTTTATTTTTTTTTTTTAAATTTACATGAATAACACTTATATGCATAATGTAGCCTAGATTTTTTATAACGCATTTATTGTGCTTTTTGGTATTAGTTTTGTTGAAAGGGAGCGTTATCTTTATTAACTTTTGATTTTAATTGTGTGGAAGTTTCTGACATTGCTTGAAAAATGATGTAATTTTTGACTGATAGGTTGCTCTTCGTAAATAAAACAGTTTCACAAACCACGCCTCTTTTGTGGAGATATATGATATTTATAAATATTTTGTTTGGTTCCGAGATATGATCTCTAAGTTTTATCCAACACAGACACAACTTATTTATATCAGTATAAATACACATGGGTAGCAGAATTTCTGAGGAAGACCAAACGTGAAGGGAGGGGTAGTACAGCATTCTAGTATAAGTTTAAACTCTTAAAAGCTCAATGCATTTAAACGTTGAAAATATGCCGCATTGAACTAGATTTTGAACTTTTAAAAAAACATAGTAGTGCTCATGAACTTTTCATTCTAGGATATGTTTTTTTTTCTTAGAAACTTCATAGTAATAGGAGTTCCAACGGGAAATTGTATTGTCTATATTTACAGCAATGCAACCTACTGACCAATATTGGTTAAACAAGAGAACATGTAGAAATTTATCAAATCTGGTTTATCTTAAGATATTTTAATGAAATCAACTCAAATATAAAGTTCTATAAATATTTCATGAAGATTAAGGAAATCCTGGGCCTTAACTATGATGACGCAGCATACGTTTACAGTTAACAGTTTGCATAGTGTACTTAAAGCCTTGTATGCCAAGTAAATTGATGATATATGCATGTATGCAATTTAAATTGTTAAGAAGCGTTTATATTAACTCTTCGTATACTTTGAAACTCATACATCCCTACTGAATATTGTTGTTGGGTTGTTTTTGTCCTGTCGAACATCCATTACCAAGTAATAACACACGACTGTGCTTTCTTGTGACCGCGTCATGAACGATACAAGCTAGAAATGCAACAGTGTGTTGTATTTTAAAATTATACTACATATTCCATATTCACAGAAATAGCAGAATTATTTAGCGAATGTGGGGCCCCAGTGGCAATAAAAAACACAGAAAAATCCATAACCCCTGTATCGTATAGTAGATGATTTAACCTGAAAAGGCTATGATATTACTATTATAAAGGTCTTTTGCATAGAATACAATTACCTTGCTTTGAAGTTATGCAAAAATATAAACCAAGATTTTAGCAGTCCGTTCTATAAAACATTTAATGAATGTATATATCAAATCAGTTACTTCAACATATAACTTTTGCAAATTTGGCTTTGTGTTAACGCTTCTAGTTCATATAGTCTCTAAATTATGTTAGATATATAGTTAAAGATGATAGTATTGTAATTGGATTTTTTTCAAATTTACCATTACAGGCAGAAATTGTGAACTTTTATAGATGTATGGTAAGGTATGGACAGGAGACTGAGACAGGAATGGATTCTTTATATAATCTTGAATGTTGGAATGATTAACTATTAAACTTTACATGTATAGTATTCTGAAATGCTTTCATTCTGTTATCAGAGTAGTTTGAATCAGGTTCTAACTTTCATGTCAGAAAACATGCACATAGGGTAAGCTGACAATAACTAAAGTCTTGTTTTCAAATTCTTTAAAAATGAAACAGGGGTTTGGGGTATTAGATTTACTGTAAAAGAAACGTTATAGTACATGCAGTAATTTTATTTACGCAATGATTCTGATAAATAAATATTGTTGTGTGATAAAGTGTTTTTCAAGATTTTTCTATTTGAATAAATGTTAGTATAGGTTGCACTTTGTTAATTCAGCTGTTTAACAAACAATGCCTCTTTTGGGGAGATATATAATATTCATATATATTTTGTTTTGTTTACCTACTGGTTCCCATATATGATCTATATGTTTCATCTCTTAGAGACACAACTAAGGAATTATACCAATATTGACACACAAAGATAGCGGCCAAATTAAATTCTGAGGAAGGCCAAACGTGAAGGGAAGGGTGGTATAGAATCTAAGGATAAGTTTAAACTCTTAGAAATTCAAGGCATATAAACGTTGAAAATATGCCGCACTGCCCTAGATTTTGAACTTTGAAAAAAAACATAGTAGTGCTCATGAACTTTTCATTCTAGGGTATGTTTTTTTTCTTAGAAACTCCATAGTAATAGGAGTTCCAACGGGAAATTGCATTG